CTATTTCAATGACGAGGAACCCACTTTGAGACTAATAATGACTGGAGACGGCTTGAATGGGTAATGAAGAAAAACTTTAATATAAGTTTAACATAACAGCAAATGTACAACATTTCGACAAGGTTTTGTCATCATCAGGTACAATGACAAAACCTTGTTAAAACGTTGTACATTTGCTGTTATGTTAAACTTATATTAAAGTTTTTCTTCATTACCCATTCAAGCCGTCTCCAGCCGTTATAAAACTATGTTTACCTTTCAACCATCAAAGTACATGTTCATTCAAATTTTCATTCTAAAGTACTTATTTAAATTCTATACTGTCAAATACTGTACTTTCTTCTAAGTTAACTCCTCACCCTCAACACTCGCTGTCCCTCAAGGTTGTAAGCTCCCACATCTTCACCAAGATTCAAAGAACAAGATTCACCAGGGACCAAATTCTTCCCTACAACCAAAGGTACTATTAATCATTTACTGATGATTGAGAAGTTTTATTTTATAATTTAGTCAATTTTCATATATGAAAATTTTAACTAATAACAGGAATATTTTTAATTTACAAAAAGTATTGAAGTTTAAATGATTTCTTAGTTCTTAACTTACAGTTTTAACCTGGTTTAATTGTTCTATCCATATAGCAATTCATCTGTCAAAGCTTCAAAAATTGCAACAAGAATTGGATATATTAAACAACCTTAATTTAACTGGAAGAATAATTATAAGGTTATACGATCGCAAACAAAAATATCTTTTTATAAGTGTAAAGTGGCTAATTGTCCAATTTGACATAGATGCAAAAATGGTGTAATAAAAAAAATGTTACTCACTTTTTTTAAATACTCATTTTAAAACAAAATATTCTTTTCTCTTTTGGCATACAAGATTCTTCTTAGCAAAGTTACTGAAAAAAGCTTCAGACATAACAACAAAACCACACATAATTTCACTATTTAACAAACAGGTTTTAATAATCATCCCTACACATTATTACACAGTTGTCCTTATACACTATACTTACCGCTACTTTGTCTCCATAAATTAAGCACATCTGCATCACTATTGCTTAGAATCTTTTCCCAAAACCTTTCAAATCTTCTTCCTTCCAAGTCCTTCCAGTGGTCAAGATACAAAGTATGGAGATGATGATCTATAAAGTTAGCACATAGTAATGTGTGAAGTAAAAACTATAATTGAGAATGTACAATTATAGTTACATACATACTATACACATACAATACATCAAACAACATGAAATATTTCACCTAAAAGCTACCAATAATGATCATTCACAGCATTAGTTTATTATCATATATATAAATAAACTCAACAAACTAGAAAATGTGAAACTTTTACTGTAATCAGCCATTATTAAGTACAGTGAAAATTCAGGCAACTAATAAAACAACTGACAAGGGATCTAACCAAGTATATAGGATTATTAGTACTTATACTACCCATAAAATTATTGAGAATATATCAAATTTTGAAAGGAAATTTCAAAAGGAAATAGTCACCATTATCCTTTTACTGAATCCCGTAACTTTACATAAACAATACATCTTTATCTTAACTTCGATTACTAAGTCCTTTCAAGATCATTTGCATAATCAAATTTCAATAACAAATATTCTTTAACATTCAGAATAAACATCATGCAAAGCCTATTCTTTAAAGATTTTAAACTAGAAGAAACTGTTGATCGTATCTCTGTTGATCGTATCGCAAACAAGTAGATGCAATTCTTTAGAGGGTTATTCACACTGTATAAAAATTATTGGAAGGATGTGTCACAGCCATTTCTGAAGAAGTATAATCATGCAGAAAAATTACCAAATGATGTAGTAAAGGACACGACATGACAAAGTAGGAAATCTGCAATATTCTTCATGGAAGTGAAAAACAGTTTATTAAGGAGATGACAATGAGTTCTAAAATCACACTCCAAGCCAATCCAGAGCAAAGTGAAAGATATAGCCATGAAAGAGAACCTTCTGATCCAAAGAAGCCATTGTGATGAAGCTAGACATATTTCTTGGTACCATTAAAAACATAATAATTAAAGATTTAAAACTGATGAAGGCTCACAAACCAAAAGTTCACCATCTTACAGCCATCTTAAAATCAATGGTTGTTCTCATGAGAAAGATGACTGAAGAAATTGGAAACACAGCAATCTCATTTATCTGAATACCTTTCAAGCCTTCCAGTGAAGCTCCAATGAACATTTGTTTTTTTAACCCTATTGGCACGGGTTGCAGGTCAAAGTTTACATCATCACATTTGTTGACTTGCATTTAAAATTTAAAATTTAATGTCAATAAGTTTGGTATCAAATTGTAGATCATAATTCAAATTTTAATATTATACATTAGTTAGTTTCTTACTTTAAAAGTAAATATTCAAAAAAAGAAATCCTAAATATCAATTTTTGTGTGTCACGTGGTATATTGAATGCAGCATTGGTTGAAATTAGATGTTTGTGATGTCCAAATTCAAAGTCTATAATTTCTTACGAATTAGATACTCAAATTACCGAAATTGACAAGTTGGAATGCAAAATAAGAACCTCCCATCTTTTTTATTTTCTGAGATATTAATATATTTATTGAATCAACCAAGGTGGCCCTGCCCACCTCTTCAATTTTTGACAATACCTGCTTATGTACACCTACTTCACCCAATGATGTGTGTGTAACCAATCGAAAGCTCAGAATGTCCCACTAGTGGCTTTCTCAGCCTCTTTGAACAATTCAGGCAACAAACTCTTTATTTTCTTGCTAGATTCCAACTGGTAAGGTTAAACTTTAGTGAGCTCAAAATTTCATAT